ACATACATACATACATACATACATACATACATACATACATACATACATACATACATACATACATACATACATACATACATTACATACATACATACATACATACATACATACATACATACATACATACATACATACATACATACATACATACATACATACATACATACAACCATACATACATACATTACATACATACATACATACATACATACATACATACATACATACATACATACATACATACATACATTCCATACATTCCATACATTCCATACATACATTACATACATACAACAATACACACATACATACATTACATTACATACATACATACATACATACATTACATTACATTACATTACATTACATTACATTACATACATACATACATACATACATACATTACATACATACATTCATACACATACATTTCATTGCACTACATAACACTGCAATGCATTACATACATACATACATAGCATTAATACATACATACATTACATACATACATTCATACATACATACATACATACATACATACATACATACATTACATACATACATACATACATACATACATACATACATACATACATACATACATACATACATACATACATACATACATACATACATACATACATACATACATACATACATACATACATACATACATACATACATACATACATACATACATACATTACATACATACATACATACATACATACATACATACATACATACATACATACATACATACATACATACATACATTCCATACATACAGTACATACAGTACATACATACAACATTACATACACACATACATACATACATACATACATACATACATTACATTACATTACATTACATTACATTACATTACATTACATTACATTACATTACATTACATACATACATACATTACATACATACATACATACATTACATTACATACATACATACATTACATTACATTACATTACATTACATTACATTACATACATACATACATACATACATTACATACATACATTACATACATACATTACATACATACATTCATACACATACATTTCATTGCACTACATAACATTGCAATGCATAACACACATACATACATACATAACATTAATACATGCATACATGACATTAATACATACATACATGCATACATACATTACATTACATTGCATCACATTACATTACATTAAATGAAATTACATTATATTATAGTACATTGCATTACATTTCATTACATTACATTACATACATACATTACGTACATACATTGCAATACGATACATTACATTACAGTACATTGCATTAATATATACATACATACATACATAGTTACATTACATTACATGAAATTACATTACATTATACGCATTACATTGTATTACATTACATTGTATTACATTACATTGTATTACATTACATACAGACATTAGGTACAACTACACGTACATACATGTATAAACACATGCATACATACCTATATATATACACATACAATAGATGCATTAGATACATACATAGATACATACAGACATACATACATACGTACATTACCTACATTACATACATACATTACGTCTTATGCATACATACATACACACACATACATATATACATACATACATACATTACATAACATCACATGCCATTACACGACATCACATTACATTACACTACATTACATTACATTACATACATTACAGACGCATATACATTACGTTACAGACATTACATTTCATTACATGACACTACATTACACTACACTACATTACATTACAGTACACTACATTACATACATCACATACGTACATTGCAGTACATATACTACATACATTACACACATTACATACATTGCATGCATTACATGCAGTACATACATTACATACATTACATACACTACATACATTACATACATTACATATGTTACATGCACTACATGCAGTACATACATTACATACATTACATACATTACATATGTTACATGCATTACATGCAGTACATACCTTACATACATTACATACATTACGTACATTACATGCATTACATGCAGTATATACATTACATACATTACATGCATTACATGCAGTATATACATTACATACATTACATGCATTACAAGCAGTACATACATTGCATACGTTACATACGTTACCTGCATTACATGCAGTACATACCTTACATACATTACATACATTACGTACATTACATGCATTGCATGCAGTACATACATTGCATACATTACATACGTTACATGCATGACATGCAGTACATACCTTACATACGTTACATGCATTACATACGTACATACAATCGTACATACATGCATTACATGAATTACATGCATACATGTATACATGCATACATGGCACCGTGTAGCAGCCAAGGTTCAATCATTTGTATATATGGTCAGGCATATGTACATATAATCGAGTACATCCTACAGTTATGTTGGGACATGTCGGGACACCCCCCTAACAAGTTTTGACTGGGAATGAGTGCTTACAACACGTTAAGCAAATGGGTACTTGCCTTCACACCCCTTTAGCATCTCAAAATGAAAGGGTACCACTGTAAATGTAGGGTCTTCCTCAACAGTTCTCAATCAGGCGCCAGAAATAAACACCCTCAGGAATGAACATGGGTCATGTCAAATCCTGCCCGTCAAACTGGTCGGCGTCAAGTCCAGGGTTTCAGTTTGTGAGCCAGACTTGCATGCACACGGAACCTTCCCCTTTTCAGCATCTGGCAAGCAAACACCAGTTGACAGTTTCAAACAAGGGTTTGGACCATTGAAGTCGAATTCACTAAGGACAGCACAAGCGTATAGGATTCGCCAGAGCTCTGGTCGGACTTGGTTCCAGGGGCCCCCCAGGTGTGCGGGGGGGGGACTGCGTTGCTCCCAATCCTTCCATTGGTTCCCTACACCTCAATGATGGTTTGGCGATTCACCCGAACTGGGGCCGGCACCTGGCCAAACTGCGCGACTTGACTTAGGCCTGGGTTTTTTGGGGGTCCGGAAGCTGGTGGGAAGTTGGCCCAAAAGTCGAGCAATTGCTCTCTCCATCAAGCTCCACAAACCCTCCACATCTCTTCCACAACACCCCAAGCACCCCATACAAAACGAAACACATCCCCCCCCCAAAAAAAAGGAGAGAACAACGCCAACAAACAAGGCGAACGACCCAACAAATGCCTCAAACCCGTCCTCTCCGCTAGCATCCCAGGGGTCTGCATCAGCCTCTACCCCTGGCAGACCTGAAACGCGCGCAGCAGCAGTCCGGGTTCTAACATGGTGGACCCCCTGTGGCATGGTTTTAAAGGGAAACCAACAGGACAAACTCCAGAGGAGTCCGTTTTGAGAAACACCGTGGTCAAGATTCAACTTAATACAACGTGCCAAACTACAAACGCCCGTTTTAGCAGCTCAAACTCGCAACTCCCCTGTCGTTTTCGGGTCTCCCAGCAGGCCTCACGCTCCATGCGAAACATGCTTGGAACAAAAGGCCCCTGAGAACCAAACAAGCCCAAACATAAGAGAGCAACAAGTGCTGCTTTCCTCAGGTTGGGCCTTGTTCTTGGGTTGCCAGGAAACTAATGAGCAAAACTTTCACGCCAATCCCACCATCAGCACCTATTACTGTATTTCTCCAACCTGAATCAGGAGATCCACAAGTACGCAACCTGTATTTATCAGGGGTGAAGGAACCCGCGTTCTTCCCAAGGTTGGTTCAGAACCATGCCCACCCTGCCACTGTTGGGTCCAACTTCCCGGAAACGAAGCCTTGCATAACAAGCAGAAGGGGCACCAAGAGAGCAGGCCTCTACCTGTCAGCGCAAGCAGAAAGACAAAGACAGAGACATTGAAAGCGAGAAATTAAGCAAGGGAGAGAAAAAGCAAACATAGCAAACAAAGCAACTGACTCGGCAGCAATCCACTAAGACGCGACCCCCTACCTGATGCAACAACTTTGCCCAGTTGCGAATATTCATCGTGTACCTTGGCCCACATCTGGGGTACAGAGAAAATATGTCTTGCAGATTCGCCAACCTTAAAATTGGACATTTTTTGGGAGAAAACCCCAGGAGTCCTCTTGATCGGGAAACGGGTTAACATTCGGCTGGCAAGTCCGTGGCAGAAGCGCATCAGTCTGCTGGACAGTAAAACGAATCTGGTGCGGAAGCGCTCCAAAGAGAAAAAGCAACGGGGTCCGCTGTGCTTGGGCAATGTTGCAACAAACATATCAATCTCTAAATGGTCAAAAACATTCCCCGGGCCTCGGCATCGATAGATGCTGTCCTCTATTGGTGTCAGAGTGTTGGACTCCTTGTGTTACTCAACATATCCATGACCCGAGGGAATCTGCAGCTCGTGGCCCATGTACAGTACCTGACAAGAGTACCAGAGACCGATCAAACAAAACCTGCCCCCTAAACAAATACCCCAAACCGATACCTTGGTGATGGTTCCATCAAGAGGAAATGGCGGAACTCCGCGCATCGGCCTCGCACAACAAGAGGATCGATCTTCGGCGCAAACATCGAGGTGCCTTGCAGCACAGCGGTCTCTGAAAACAACAAATAAAACAAGATTCTTATGTGATACGCACAGACAATGCCTCCTTTTTCGAACATAGCTTGGAAAAAGGCGGTCGTTCAATTGTATTACGCTGTGATTTTGTCCATCACTTTCTTCGCAAGTGCTGTAGCTGCTCTAGTGGGGCAGGTGGGTACGGCCAAAGAATCCCATATTGTAGGCAAAAGGTGGGGAAACCACCCTTGTTTCCAGATCCAACTCCATAGCTTGCCGAAATGTCATACAGTTAGTAAAGAGAGGGAGGAAGGGGGCACTATGTCATACCCGCCAATTCCTTTTCTTCGGGCACCAAATCAGATATCGTCCAAGTCTTTGAGCGCAAGTAAACCACAAAGCATTAAACAAACAAAACAACTTTGCTTTTGGGGCCCCGGCGCTGTGTCAATCGGAGTCACCCGCTCCCAAGCTTGGGATGCGCAAAGCTTTCAGGTGCGCTTCCAATGCAAAAAGCCACACCATTTCCATGAAGGGTCCAGCGCTTGTGGGCCGCCAATGGCTCCGAACTCCCCGAGAAAAAAAGAGAGGAGAAAACAAAAAAGAGAAAAAAAAGGTCACCGAGCTTCCCGATGTTTTTTTCTCCTGGAAGTCTCCGGAACCCTCCCTAGAAGCTGGCCACACCCCATAACTTTCAGCTTTTGGGAGAGACATCTTGGCTGACATTGGGTTTGGGGAGCAAAAAAATGAAAACACAATTAGCATTTCAGTGGATTTGGATTTCAACCAAACCACAACAAGCAAAAATGTAAAATGTGTCCCAACAACAACCATGACATGACGATTGAACTGCTCAGACCCCCGCTGTGCCGGAGCTCACGGCCATAGGCCCCGACCTGCAAGGCACAGCATCAGCCACCAACTCGGAAAAGTGCACCAGAACAAATGGTCCAAAAGAAACTTAAATGTGGAGACATTCCTTTTTGATTCAACAGAATGCCTTCTTTAGATTCTGAGTGCACAGCTTCCGGCAATTCCTTGCCTCACCCCTTCTTCACCTGATTGCGTTGGGGCTCTTGCGTGCCGGAGCGATAAGCCAAAGAACAGCCGGCGCCGTATCTGCTGGCCGCTGGACCCTTCTGCACAAGGAGGCTTCAAAAAGGGCTTTGATGTATTTTGGGGGTCAGGGAACCTCCCAAACCCCAAGAGTTGGGTTGGCAATTTCGGGCCAAGCAGGCCTCCTTTTGGTTGGACTTGACTCACAAAAAAAGCTCCCCAAAGTGAAAATGGCTGTCTCAATCTTGGGGTGGCCCCTTTTTCTGTAGGGAAGCCTGCTGACTAAGGCGTTCCCTAAGGTGAATTTGTTTGGCTGCCTCAATCTTGGGGTTTCCCTTTTTTTTTGTGGCTTTTTGTAGGGAAGCCAGACGGAAAGAGAAACTCAGCATTCTACTCTTTCAAAGCGTTGATTGACTCATTGCTCACGGGAAAAATCCGGCCGCTGACTTCGCGAGTGGATGGCCGCAAAAAGTCCAAACTTGTTGGTTTCCAGGTTGTCATGGACCCTGCACCCTGGACTCCAGTTTGGCCGCCCGCGAAAAGGGCTACTGGCTGTGCTGGGTTAATCCAACCCTTGCTTGTTAACCCAGTGGTGTTTCTGGTCCCCCCCCCATGACCAGAGTCTGCTCGAGCAGCTTCCGTCCAACTGTGTTCAACAAACCATCTTTCTAGGGGTTGATTCCCCAGTCTTTTCAACCATCGTTCTTTTCAAAAACCGTCTATTTCCCCTGGGCTGTTGATGGTTTCCTGAAAAGAAGGATTCCTGGAAAGAATGGGAAGGTACCCCTAGAATCTTGTCAGTTGCTTACTTCGCTGTACCATTTGACAGCCTTTGGAAGGTGATGGCCCCGTGAGACTCCCAAATGACGACTTTCCTGTCGGTGTTGATCCACCAACCTGGAATGTACCGAACCTCAAGAAACACACCCTTTCAGGTCAAACCATAGTGTTCACTTCAGATTTATCTGGAGGGCCCTACTAGTTAGAGCAAGACCATATATATATATATATATACAGCATTTTCCTTGGTTGGTACAATCAAATATGTGGTTTCCTTCAGGATCCCATCAGCAAGAATGCCGCAAATGCTTTTGGCTTCCCTGGCCCTTTGCTCAACTTTACTAGGGTGCCAAAAAGGGGTTCCAGACAAATCGGGGGAAAGTAATACATCCTTTTTGGAGCACGGTTTTATCTTGGTTGCTGTTGACCCCCCTGCAAAAAGTAACCTTTTGGGGGTTTAGTGGAAAACCCCTGATTTCCGAACAAGTTAAAGTCTAAAGATCCAAACCCAATAGCAGTCAAGATATTAGGGACCCCAAGTGAGTGGTTTCCTTTTGGCCCGCGACGTGCCGCCGGCCCCGCCTCCGGAGTCCCCGTAGGCCTCAGCTGATGGTCGAAGAAGTCCCAGTCATAGTCGTAGCGGTCCAAGTACAGATGCCGCCCGTCCTGGGGGAAAAATAAATCGGCAACAACAAAACATATGTTCAGCTTGCTTTAAAGGGGGAAAAAAGACGTAGAAAGCTGAGCCCTTTGACTGACATTCCCAAATGAGCCAGGTTGCAATAAGTCTTGAGCTCTCAATGTCTGGACGAAGGATCATACACCTGCGCCCAAACTTCCAGCGGACGACATGCACACGAACTGCATTCCAGCGGTAGGCTTGGGGGGGGCGGGGAAGGCCAACTCAGTTGAAGCCAGGTCTAGATTTGGTCTCAAGGCCGCTCAGATCGATCTTTCAAGGGTGGTTTCCTCGGGTTTCTCTTGAGACCTCAAAAGTACGGATGGTCCACCTTCAACCACTTGGGATGGGTGGTTTATCAACCTTTCGCACATCCATCCAAGTGGCGCCTTTCCATTTTCTCCATCCACAGGGATGCTTCTTTTGTAAGAGGCTACCCATGTGGGGGCTTAGCTTTTGAGTTTAAGAGGGTTTCCGAAGGAAACCAACCGTTTTTGAGGAGATTTTGAGACACACCCAAACAGTGGATGGCGGCTGGCCAGTTTTAGTAAAGAGTTCCACTCCCTGTGTTGCCAGGAATAATAGTGAGGGCCCTACCTTTGTAACTTGTTGGTATGGAGGATTCCCCACGCAAATTGCAAATGAGCCAACCACATCCAACAACAAGGGAACAACAAAGACCTAGTCGGACCTAGTCCTTTCGGATGCTACACAAACACGGTCATACAAATATGATTGTCTCCCGTTGAACGGGTGCCCTGGACTATACATTTCCTTATTCCCGTACTTGCAACTCCCAAACCCCCAACTGGCCATAGAACAACAGGACCCTTTCAGCGCTAGGTGATGACAAAGGAAAGCCCTCTCCAAAATGAAAAAAGAGGCTCACTGGGTGTCTGGGGAACAATTGAGGACCCACCGAATGCGGGTGCGTGCAGTTGGCAGAACCCGATTTATTTGACCAAAAAAAGCGAGAACCATAAACCAGTCCTACACCTCAAAACCCTCCTGAACAAAACCCAAACCGAAGAAGGAAAAAACACTAAACCAACCCTCAGCTGTGTCCACTTTTGCCAAAGCAACGACGGAAAGCTTGGTTCGGGACGGCTGAGTTGAGCCTTCATACATTTCCTCCACCGCGCAACCGGCACTTGTATCCTACAGCAGGGAGGGCCCCTAAGCAGGGAGGGTAATGTTGACCCCATATTCATCAATGTTGATATGGGGGTGCTTTTCCCTGGGTTTAGTGGGATTCAGACCACTTTGGGGGCGAAACCCTACCGAGAAAAAAGAATCGGCATCGTTTTTCACTTCGTTGAGTTTAAAGGAACCGGAACCCTTCCCAAACACCAAGTTGAAAACTAGGGCGGAACTTATACTGGTTGCAACTAGGAATCAACTGGTGGCACATCTTTAAGAGGGTGCTTTTCCCGTGAAATGTGGCTGGATTCAGACCACTTTCGGAGCAGCTCCGCCGTTGACGAGCCTGGGGTCCACACGTCCACGCCCCTCCGAGCGCCCCATCCCCACCCCGACGCTGAGGCTCAGGCGATGCTCACACCGCTGACGCAGCACAGCACCAGATCACCCGGCTCCACGTCCTGATGGGGTGAGTCCCTGTGGCTGGCTCGCCCCGAAAGTTTGACGTGTTTCCCGTGTCTCTCCTTTAAAATTGGCGGGGCCCCCAAAAACCATGAGCTTTCTCTTTCCGGTTGGTTCCATCTAAACCATCCAAACAAGTCCGGCCTTTTGAGAAATGGCGGGTGGATCAATAACTTCCCTTTTCAGTAGGACACATCGCACTCAAAATTCAACTGTGGAGTCTCGGTACTGGGCCAAAGGAGTGGACCCTGCCAAAAGTTGACTTCGTGCTTTTCCCTCATCAAGGCCTTATTTTGTAATCCACAGGGAAGAGGGGTTTGGCTTACTTGTGATCTTTGGGGAATCAACCAATAGAATTCGCCCACTTTTCGCCACATCTTTGGTCCCTGGCACGGGACTTTGATATGAGCCATGCAATTCAACTTAGACAGGAGTGCAGGCCCTATCGATATATTCCAGTCTCCATGACTCTTAAACAATGGTTGGTCATTACCCAAAATAATGGGGTCATGGCCCCATTTTTTGAGGGTCATGGAGAGTCTAGGTTATTCTATGACATTGGGAGGCGTGGGTCTGTTCGTGTCCCTTTAAATTTGGCATTCTCGCAAACACACGCAGACACACACACACAAGCACACATACATATTTCAGCTGCTTTTGGGACGAATAAGCGATTTCGCTGCACAAGTGACCAGATGCCTCGAGAGGCTTTGGTTACCTCAGACTTCGCCCTTTCTAGCAACGGCTGTCTTCGACCCAAAATGGCTTCAACCCCCACGGTACTTCCATTTGCTTAAGCCCCACGGAAAAGGATATGTCCAGTAGAGATGAATTCCCTTGAACACCAACAAGGGAAAATCGAAATATTCTGTGCCAACAGAGACGGACCCAATTTGTCAGATCCTTGCCAGGTGTTTGGCTTGTTTCTGTTAATTCGCTGCTTTCCTTCACGTTCCCATACGGAAGGGAGGGTTTGGGAGAAAAGAAAAGCGCCCAAGAGAAAGGTTCGTGAAGCCTGGCAATAAACCGGGCTCTAAAACAAAAAATCACCGGCCCACGTTTTCGATTGTTCCAATAATGATCCCTTCAAGTAGGTCCAATAGTTGGACAATTTCTTTTAGTATTATCTGCAGGTGTCCAATTCATGATTTTCCACCATCATTCCAAGACTTAAACGTGGGAACTGGAATCCCATGTATTCCAAGGACCATGGCGGTCCACTCGTTTGGACCCGGACCGCACCTGGAAGCGGCTGAGCGCGGAGGGAGTGCTCACCATGCCCACACGCCCGGCGTTCAGCTTCAAGAGGAGCTTCCTGCGAGAGGCGTCTGGTCTTGGTTGACGTAAGCGGAGCTTGGCAGTTAAGTGGTTGGATTTCAACCACTAAACCACAAACAACAAGCAAAAAAAAAAAAAAAAACGTTTCACAACAACAACCATGTGGTGCTCAGTATGGAATTTCAGGGGTTGGGGGGGGAGGTGGACCTGGGGTTCCTCTCAAAGGAACTTCTGTTTTTTTCGCCAAACTCCCGAATTTGACTAGCTTCATTGCTAGCTTCATTATTTCTTATGATCAAAGTCACCCCCGGAGTGGGGGGTTAAAGGGAAACAACCCCAGTTTCTGACTTTGACAACGCCCCCAGAAACCGTCAAAATAATGACCCCAGTTTGAGGGGTTGGGGGTCGGGAGGTGAACCTGGGGTTCCTCTCAAAGTTTCTTGCGCCAAACTCCCAACGACAGTGGGTCAACCGGAAGGCCTTGGAAAGCTTCCGGGGTGCCAGGGGCCCCTCTGGCCTGGCGCGTCCCCTTACTTGTGGTGTACCCCGCCTCGCTATGTGACGACATCTAAGAGGTTCGATGGCAGGTGGGTTTCCCAAACCTGTTCCAAAATCAGTCCGGAAGTCGTAACTGCCAAACAGTAACCCAAGAAAAACCGGCCGTAACAACTACACTCCCTCAGACCAACATGGAAGCTCCCAGAAGGCCTCCGTAGATGGAACCAAGTCTTCCAAAGGGTTCCTGGGAGCTTCCATTTTAGCCTGCGGGAGGGTAAAACCGATGCAGCCTGAAAAACAAGCACCGCCGTTTCACGCCGCAAAAAAGCGGAAAAGCCAAACATGAACCCCAGAAAAACCGGCCGCAACAACTACGCTCCAACAAAACAAGCACCGCCGGTTCACACAAAAAAAAGAAAACAACAAAAAAACAACAAACCAAAAAAAAACAAGAGAAGAAGCTGGGCTGCCGGGCTCGTTGGTGCGCGTGGCCACCAGGGCCCACAGCCGTGTGCCGATCTTGGCCTTGGAGGTCTTGGAAGCGAAAGGGAGCAACCCAACCGAGGGCGCCATGTCTCGGAATTGCTTCTATGTACACCCCCCCGTTTGGCTTGTTTCAGGGGGGAAACAAACAGGAAGCAGCCTCTTAGGGGTTCCATGTCTCAGAATTGCTTGCCTGGACTCCATGACCCTTACAACATGGGTCCATGACCCCATTTTTTGGGGGGTAAACTCCAGGTAATCAAAACCCTTTTAACGTGGCTTTCCTACCCTTTTGGCGTGGCCCCTGCATACCTGGAGTCTCCTGCTGACCCTAAAAAAATGGTTGGTCATTACCCGAAATAATGGGGTCATGGACCCAATTTTAAAGGGTCATGGAGAGTCTAGGCATGAGTCATCCCTAAAACCGGGTATTGTCATGGTCGACCCAGAACCATGCTTCAAGAATTAAGAAGGCGGATATCCGCCGCTATTTATGGTTAAGATTGTCCCTTACTAACCTTCATCTACCCGGGTTTTGATTGTGAGCCATGTGTTCAGATGATGGCCTGTATTTAGTCTGCCCTACCCCAAAATATAAGTTTGGAGACCCCAGAAAACGGCCGATTCAACCCTGCAACAAAGCAGCAACCCCCGCAAACCATTTGGGTTGTTGAGCCTTGCATGCCCGGAGGCCTGTGGCTAAGGGGCACATGAAGGGAACCCGCCGAGCTGTTTGGCCGATGTCAAAAGGGAAGACCCTCCCCAAACAAAGGAAAAACATGGCACCATCGGGCCAATGCCTCTTGCCTCAGTTCACGCTTTCTTTGCACAGCTCTTGGCTGGTCTGACCTATTCGGGTTTAAGACAACCGTAGCTGAAAAATGAAAGGCAGTGAACACCATCTGAGCGCTAAACTTGTTCGGGGCTACTGGTGTTGACTTGAGGTGAGTACCTCTGGGACAATTCAAGCATTCGTGATTGTCCCCCCTCCCAACCAACCATGAGGCAGCCACAAGAACACGGAAAGCAAGGATCCAGCTGTCCTCCCCCCATTTCGCATCATAAAATGGGCAAACAACCCCCAGGACATGCTGCGGTTTGCAAAACACCATGGGTGAACATAATCGAACCCTTAATGACAAAGTAAGCCACTACACAGCTAAAACATGAAACAATTTTGACAGAAACAGAAAAAAACAAACCAACAAAAAACACAAGGGTACAATTGACCGACCCTGCCGAGTCGCCATGCTCTGTGCCGTGGGGAAGTCCTGGTTCAACAGGCAATAGTCCATGGCCCGCCTGGAGCCTTGGACGATGTCCTGGCGTTTTTTGTTCTTCTCCGCGGCGGGATGGACACAAATGCGCTAGGTGGGTAGGTAGGTGGGTTTGTGGGTGGGTGGGTGGGTGGGTGGGTGGGTGGGTAGGTAGGTAGGTAGGTAGGTAAATGAGCACGTAAGAATATAGGAGAACAACACATGATGTTTAATACTGGTGATAACAATGCAAACAAAAACACGGCATTATTCAACATACACATGACAGTGTTCAGAATGCAATGCCAAAGATATGCACATGACGATGTCAAGCTTGAACCTTCTGCAAGCTTGGTTGATTGAAGCCTCCAATGCCAGTCGTTTCATCACAGACAGCTCCCCATGAAGATCTTGCCGCTGGTTGTTTTTTTTCGGTGGGGGGGCGGCCTGGGTTTTCTCGGGCTCCTTCATGGCCATGGAGGACACTCGTCACGCCGCAGATTTTCCAGGAAGGACACCCAAAAAGGGCTAGGTCCTCCAGTGGAAAGGTTAGAATAAGGGTGCCAACTTTTTTCAGGACGTCAAAAAGTTGGTAAAAGGGCGCCTAGCTGGGGGACCTTGAGGGGCTCCGGGACCCCCAAAGATTCCAATCTCAAACCCCAGCCAAGTGCTCGATCTGCTCGCGGATGGTTTCGCAGGCCGTTCCAAACAGAGACGCCTGGCCTCGGAGTGTCAAAGTGATGATCTTCGAAGGACACGTGATCAAACGTGTTGAACCTCATTCAGCACCCACCAGCCCACATCCACTGTCCATTTCCATCCACCTTCCACCCTCCCATCCCGCCCACCTTCTCATATCCATGCTCCAACATTTTCTCCCGCAGCTCCAGCAGATGCTCCACTGAGTGGATGGCATAATGCAGCAGCTCCTGAGAAGTCATGGTGCCAGGCTGTGCCATGCTGTGCCATGCTCCGCAGATTTGCCAACAACTGAAACATGAAAAACATCAACAAGCCCATGGCATCCCATAGAGCTTCATCTCCACTTCTTCCCTTCCTTCTGGCCTTTTGATGTTTAGCCCGACTCCGGGGAGTTGATCGTGGGAAAAGGACTGATTCCTTCCCCGAACAGCTGCCAACCGTAGGTCCCATGCGTGGGATCGCAAACAACACCCATCTGTACTAAAGCGCTCTACCCCAAAAACATATGCTTATGGCCCTTGATCCTCAAATTCTGAGCTCCCGCCTTTCTACTGTAAGGGGGCTGCGCCGATGCGTGCTGGGACTGCGCCTTGCAAACCTTCACTTGCTGCGGTCTTTCCAGCCACACAAATTGTTGCGCGAGACAGACAATGAAGATATTCTCTACCATTGCACTGGGGCGAATATGGGCGTGTGAACCGCTTTTGAGGGTAGCTTTTGGTTGGTTTAAAGAGAAACCAAAAGGACATGTCTGGGTCTCCCTTTTCGAGAACACGCCCATGTAGACTGGGGACCCTTGGTGGTCAGATCACTTGTGGCATGCGTTTTTGGCGAACGCCCTACCTACACATGGGTGTTTCTCGAAATAGGGGTCCCTTGATGTCCCTTGCTTAGATACTTTCAAGGGGAAGCAACAGGAGGCCGACCATCTGAAGAGATCCCCAGTTTTTTGCAAGAGAAGCGTGGAAATGCGAAGAAGTTCCTCATGTGGATTACGCACGGTCCTCTCCAAACTGCTTTGCATTGGAGGTCCAAAATGCAAGTCAAGGATTCATCGAGAAGCCAGCTGCGGCTTTCCATGCGAGAAGCCATCCGTGGCCAGTAAGCTGTTCCAGCACCGGACTAGTCGTGCAGCACGTACTGCACAACATGCCCATGATGAACCGCGCTGCGCCCGCCTCCCGCCTCGCTCCAACTTGTGTTTTGGCCGTCCAAGACACAAGTTGTCCGTCACCCCACACACACACACACAGACAAGCAACACATCATATCAACCTTCCATGAACCCTGTGTCGCATCAGGTGCTTACGCGCGAGCTTGCGCTTTCGTTACGAGCCATGTATTAGCTTACGCGGCAGGCTTACGCATCGCTCACGCGGCGTTTTGAGCGTTTCCCCTCAAGAATTGCTTTCGCGGGCTCCATTTTTCCCATACGGCCGCCAGCACTGTGCAAGATGACGTGGATGACTCTAAGGAAGAACATCCAAGAACTACTCTTACGAGTTTCAACGGCTTGGCGTCGTTGTTCTTACTGCAGGTCATGAAACAGCTTCTGCGGCGGCGGCATCTATGGCGAGGGCTAGCGGGCAGCCAATCTAGGCGGGCTTGCGCGAACCTTGCGAGCCTGCTTACGCGAGCTTACGCGAGCTTACGCGGCCGACCCCTTAAGTTTGCTAAGTCCACGGTTTCAGAAGCCTTTGTTTGTCGTAGTAAAGGGAACCTCACCTGGCATCAAGAGCTCCCAATCAAAGTCTGCTGATTTTGTTTTCTGATGGTGCGCGCATGCGGTCTTAGACGTCTTCCTGCAGCCAAAGTCTCCCGGCAAACTGTCAAGCTCGACTAGGATGAAACAGCACCTGCCACCAATAAACACATAAGCACATGTGTGAAACAACTCTTCCGAGCATGCTTACGCAGGTACTTACGCAGTAAGTTTTTCCAAAAAGTGCGTACGCCGGCTTGCGCCGTGCAGGGTTTGCTTAGGCGAGGCCTTGTTCTGACACAACTCTTGCTTGGGATGTAAAGGTTTTTTTTAGAGCTGTGAGCTGTTCACCTGTCAGCTGCCTGGACAAGTTGAATGCGTCACGCAACTGAGTCATCCACGTCATCTTGAACGGTTCTGGCGGCCGTATGGAAAAAAGGAGCCCGCAAAAGCAATTCTTGAGGGGAAACGCTCAAAGCGCCGCGCGAGCGGTGCGTACGCTGCTGACTGCCGCGTAAGCTAGCACATGGGTCTCGTAACGAAAGCGCAACCTCGCGCATAAGCAACCTGATGCGACATAGGGGTTCATGGGAGGTTGATAGAGTGGCTGAGGTGATGTTCTGCTTGTCTGTGTGTGTGTGTGTGTGGGGTGACGGACAACTTGTGGCTGTGTTGGACGGCCCAAGCGCAAGTTGGAGCGAGGCGGGAGGCGGGCGCAGCGCGGTTCATGATGGGCATGTTGTGCAGTACGTGACTAGTTCCAGTGCTGGAACAGCTTACTGGCCCCGGATGGCTTCTCGAATAGAAAGCCGCAGCTGACTCTCGATGAATCCTTGACTTGCGTTTTGGACCTCCAATGCAAGCAGTTTGGAGAGGACCGTGCGTAATCCACATGAGGAACTTCTTCGCATTTCCACGCTTCCCTTGCGAAAAACTGGGGATCCCTTCAGAAGGTCGGCCTCCTGTTGCTTCCCCTTAAAACTATCCAAGCAACGGACCCCTGTTCGAGAAACACCCACATGTAGATGTGGTGACCACATTCATGCATCTTGGCGAGTACGGGGCGCGTAGGCAGGGCGTTCGCCAAAACGCATCCCACAAGTGATCTGACCACCAAGGGTCCCTATTCTACATGGGCGTGTTCTTGAAAAGGGAGACCCAAACATGTCCTTTTGGTTTCTCTTCAAACCAAAAGCTACCCTTCAACACGGTTCACCCACCACATTCGCCCCCAGTGCAATGGTAGAGAGTAGCTTCGAAATGTGTTTCGCGGAAGTTGGCATGAATGAAGCCCTATGAATACCGTTATAAACCACCTATCGAGTGGTACTGTACCCTGTACAGCGTGACCCTGGGCTAACAATTTTAGTGGCTGGAAAGACCCCGGCAAGTGAAGGTTTGTCAGCACACATCGGTGCAGCCCCCTTATAATAGAAAGGCGGGTGCTCAGAACCCTCAGGTCCGGATCAAGGGCCATAGGCACATTATTTTGGGTAGAGCGCTTTAGTACTGGGAGTTTAGCAGTTAAAGACTAGTAACCCTGGTTGTAACCCACTTACAATGGTTGTAAGTCCCCTGTAACTAGGACAGGAATCCTTACATTATACACCTGAGCATTGCCTTGTAAATGGTGGTTTCCCTTCATTTTGGTGGAAAAAGCCATAGTACAGATGGGCAAAATGTATCTTTAAGGAGCCCTGTTAGGATCGTTCACCATTTAGCGATTCGTCTCAGACCATCTCAGTAGAGTCAAACCCTATCAACGCATGGAGCAGTTGCTCCCGCAGCAACCGGTCCTTCGACAAAGGCCGGCGCGCCCAAACCTGGGGGTCCCCGAACATCCGCTTTTTCAGCTCCGCAGTGGCGGTGTCCTAGCGGCGCAAAAAAATGGCGCCGCCATCATGCGCCGGGTGGATCGGCTCTCACTTGAACCACCATACAGGGCATCTGTGTACCTGGAGTCGACCTTAAGACCCTTAAAACATGGTCGGTTACCCAAAATGGTGGTCCCATTTTTAAAGGGTCACGGAGAGTCTAAGCAATGTTGAGACATGGAACCCCCCAAAAGGCTGCTTCCTGTTTGTTTTTGAAACCGGGGGGTACATAGAAGCAATTCTGAGGCATGGCGCCCTCTGTGGTTGGGTTGCTTCCATTCCCCCCAAAACACCGATCAAGAATCAAGAGGTGGGTTCTATTCGTTTGGGTTCGGCAATCCCAGGTTCTCTGGTCCCGATCCGACCGGCAATCGACAAGTGGGTGTGTTGGAAACACAGAGAAGGACCCAGTGTATGGCAATAAGGCAGAAGCCAAAAGGCTCTTGAAGAGGTGGGTTCCAGAAACTGCAGACTGAGTGTACTTAAACTCAGTTCGAGGGACACTAGCCCACAATTCCTAAAGAAAGAACACACCCAATGCTGGCACCGTTTTTGAGACCACAACTCCTGCGCCTGCCTTGATATGACCGGTTTAGGGAAAGAACCAGCGCCCCTGAAACAAAAAACACAGACACACACCTACCTAGACTCTCCTTCTGACCCTTTAAAACTGGGTCCATGACCAACCATTATTTCGGGTAATGACCAACCATTTTTGAAGGGTCCGTCGTGGAGACTCCAGGTAAAAAAGGTCTTTGAAACCTTCATAGAAGTCTGGTGGGGGGCCATCAACCATTTGGAGGGTTCCTGTCCAATTGGAGAGCGACCTCCTGGAAATAGTATTGAAACGGGTGGCTGTGCGGGTGTCCCAAAATCGGAAAAGCGAGCCCGTTTAGGGTAACGCAAGCACACAGCAAGCCAACTATGGGGGCTCAACTTTTAGTTTTCACTCTCATTCGACGGCGTGATCATTTTGATCCCTTTGACCCAAGCTCGTGTGCCTTCCCCCTTCCCTTGATTGCCAGAGGGTACCGGGTTCAAGCTGCCATGTTTTCCCTTGAAAAACAGGAAGGACACTCAACTCAAATTGGCCAAACCAGGGTGTTCAAACCCAAAGGGTGCAAAAAAACATCGGAGCCCCAACAGTGTGATATGTTCCTTCCGGTTCCCGGGTGCCAAGCCTCAACAAAAACACCCAGATGAGCAGCGAACTCTCGCCGCGTCTTCCCGTGCCAAAGTGGCTTGGTCATGTGTTGCGTAAAAAACGAAAAAACTCGGAGCAAAACCACGGAATCCATCTCCCTTTGCGCCTCTTGGCCCCATCGGTACACAGAAACTTGCAGCTACTGGAAGTAGGGAAGGAGAATTGGAATGACCCCGACAAGAACCATCCAACTGGTGGCTTCCGTTCAGAAACAACCAATACCTGGGTTCATTCCCTCATTCCCGAGCACCAGGAAAATTCATGAGAATCCATCATTTCCCGACTCTGCGCCATATTTCGCCTGCCATGCTCGCCGTAAAATATAACAAAACATCTTTGGAAATGTTCGGAGACCCACTATCTAGGCTCCGTAGAATATTGAAGTCTGTTCGGAGACCCTGAGTCTCGAATATTACCTGGAGTCTCCCTAAGGACCCTTAAAAAAAGGTTGGTCATTGCAATATTGTGAGGTCATGGACCCATTTTTAAAAGGTCAGGAGAGTCTGGGGAGACCTGGATGTGGGTCAAACATGAGGAAACCCCAAAATGGACCCCTGGTAAATGGAAACAAAGACGAACACCAGCGGTCCTCTGGCGGTTTCATTTTGACCCATACCCACCTATGGGTTACCTCCCGTCCAAAGCTCACCCCTGCCCGCGTCCGGGCGTCCGGGGACTCGACCGTCCTCCAGCCCCAAGAACCTCTGCAGCAGCTCACTTCCCGACGCCTGGTACACCGTCCGGCCTGGCTAGACCACCACGACGCGACCCGAGGGCCCGAGGCGGCGTATTTTTGTTTTTTTTTGTGACCAACAACCCCTTGGCCTCTGGTTGTTGGCCGTTGTTTTTGTTTATTTCCCCGAGAAGCCAGGAAAGCCAACATGTTGAATGGGTGTTTCATTTGGGTACTTCCTTCCCCTGATGAAATGGGGCCGCTGCAACTAGCTGGTGATTGGAAACCAGAAAACAAGTTGCCGTCTCCGATCCGTTTGGCGGAAAACAAAACAAACACCTGAGGCGTCCTCATTTGCAAACAGAAATGGCGGGTTACCATGAAGGCAACAGGGACGCACTGAGTGAGTGGAACTATACGGGAACAACCTGAACGGGAAGCCAGTTGATTAAGCACAAACCCTGGTTGATTGTGATAGGGGGATGTCCCATTTGGCAGGGTTGGCGGTGATTGCGTGACAATACATGCGGGAATGTAAGGCAATGTAAGGGCTAACTAATTACACAGGTAATTCTCTCACGAGGTAATTTGGTTTTGATCGTACCCTGCAACCCGAAAAAGCGTTTGGGCCCTGTGTGGACACAACTTCTGGACCTTTCGGTCCCAGCCAGAGTGTCGGGTCACGGATCGATTGATGCCAATCCACTTGGGGACCCCGTGGCGGGTTCTCGTCAGGCTCCAGCTTAAATGGGCCGTGTTTAAACATGTTCAAAAAGCCGCTTGTCTATACGTCGTCTTTGTCTTGGTCACCGTTGGACCCTCGTTTTGGCTGTTTGAAAGGGCCCCCAGGAACCTGAAGCCCACCCCCAGAGTGATGCTATGGCTACTGGCTTGGTGTTAGACCCCTACCCAAAATAACACTGATAGCTCGCACGCGTGAAGAAATCCTCGCTGTTTTTAAAGGGAAGGCACGGCCTACACAAAAAAATGCATTTTCCGAGACTGCTCTGAAAGGTCATTTTCATAAGTAACATGTGGAAGGTCACAACGCTAGTTCTAAACTGTGGCTGCCCACACACTAAATCCCATTTCAACCTGAACCAGTTTCAACAGAACTGCGCCCGTTTCACCCATTGACGCTTAGTAGTACTTGTTTATATGGGCGCTACTTCATCCCTAGCAAGCCGGGTAGTAAAATCACCTACTAACATGGCCAACAGCGGATTTGGGCGCTGTTCACGTTAAACCTGCATCCTGCATCCAGGGGTTGCGACTGTTGCTTTGTCCACAACAAAGCAACTCCCTACCCAGCACCCGGGTATATATATATATATGTTTGTGTGTATACAAATACATCTCTGTATATATCTATATACACACACACACCTGTATGTATATATGTATCCGCCAGCCCTCAGACTTCAACCCCGTCCAACCCCCCCCCCCCCCGGCCACATGTCGCGCGTCCAACATCCCTGCTCCAGCTTCGCCCAGTCCGCCTGAAGTGAGCCTGGAAGCTGCCGGCCTCCAGGGCCGGGAGGTCAGATCCTGCTTCAGGCAGATTCCCAAAACAAAACAATCAAATCCTCTTTAAAACGGGTGAAATCCTCCTTAGAAGCCGGCCAACTTCCCATCTAGCTCCGGTCAAATCTCGCTGGAAACCGGTCAACTTCCTCCCCTCCACCACTCCGGTCAAATCCCCCTAGAAACCCAAATGCCCCTAAAAACCGTAAAAACCAGCCGATTTCGCTTCTAGAAACCTGTCAAATACCCTCTGAAAACAGGTCCAACTCCCGTCTAGAAACCGTCAAAATCAAAAAAAGCCGTCCGATACCCTAGAAATTTGGACCTGCGCTTGGCCCACCATTCTGTAGCTCTCTGCGGCTCTCGGTCTGGCCCTTGAAGCCGGGTGGAATCGTGCGGACATGCGCCCACGGGAAAACCAGCTCACGCAATTCGGCGCAGACTCACTCACTTTAATAACATCACTTCAACGCAAACTGAAGCACAGTATATACCTCAAAGCCAGCCAAAAGCGGACTGGCCGAGGCGGGCAACACGAAGTGTTTACAATAAATGTGTATGTACATATGTATGTGTGTATGCATGTATGTGTGTATGTGTGTATGTGATACGTACATGTGTATGATGTATGTGTGTGTATGTATCTCAAAAGGAGAGACCAAACGGAACATCACAATCTTCCGGGGCCCCCTGAATTGATACGTACCCATATGTCATTGCTATTCACCCTCAACGGCAGAATCACGGCAAAAGCATTCCCAGCTTTGCTTCGTCCAAGGTTTGCCGCAAGAAAACCAACGTGACACCAACTCTAACGACAAGGGGTGGGCGTGTTCCCATTTGCCACTACAGGAAGTAACCCAGATTGTTCCAACGTCTACAGCTGCAGTTCCCCTTGACGGTTGCAAGTCAACCAACCTCAGTTGTCATAACCTCCATCATAACCTACTCACTATCTAGTCGGATTGAATATCCAAGTGCTGGCTCGTTGATCGACTTCTGAAGGCAAGCTTCTGGATCAGGTAAGCGAGATGTCTTCCCTGTAAAACCTACCCAAAACTCGAGTTTCGTGGCGTGAGTGGATCTACTTGGATGTTTGAGCATTGTCCCACCTTGGCTACAACCTACAAAGTAATATATATATATGAGGAACTAACTATACCTTCATTAACACTTTGCCATGGTCAATTTAATTCGAGCTATATCCTACTTTACAAAGTCCTGTACTCCTAGGTCTGTTCCCTGAAGACCACAGGAGCCAAATCTGCAAAGTGGCTAAAGCGTACATGGGCGTGTCCTTTTTGGAGGCCCTTTTTTGGTTTTAAAGCGAAACCAAGAGGAGCACCGAAGCCATTTTGGGGGGGTCCCTTCCATGATATTAACGTATCTCTGGCATCATTTTACCATAATCAAAGTTACCCCCCCAAGGGACTAAGTGGTGGCTTGAAGGGAAACAATCCCATTTTCTGACTTGGACAACCCCAGAACCAATCACAATTACTGAACAACCCCCTGAGCAACCCCTAAAAACAATCAAAATACTGAGCAACCCCTAGAACCAATGAAAAGAATGACCTAACTTTGACAACCCCTAGAAACAATCCAAATACTGAGCAACCCCTAGAACCAATGAAAAGAATGACCTAACTTTGACAACCCCTAGAAACAATCAAAATCACCGAACAACCCCTAGAACCAATGAAAAGAATGACCTAACTTTGACAACCCCTAGAAACAATCAAAATCACCGAACAACCCCTAGAACCAATGAAAAGAATGACCTAACTTTGACAACCCCTAGAAAAAAACAAAATCACCGAACAACCCCTAGAACCAATGAAAAGAATGACCTAACTTTGACAACCCCTAGAAACAATCAAAATCACCGAACAACCCCTAGAACCAATGAAAATAATGACCTAACTTTGACAACCCCTAGAAACAATCAAAATCACCGAACAACCCCTAGAACCAATGAAAAGAATGACCTAACTTTGACAACCCCTAGAAACAATCAAAATCACCGAACAACCCCCGACCTAAACAACCCCTAGAACAATCAAATGAAAATGAATGACCTAACTTTGACAACCCCTAGAAACAATCAAAATCACCGAACAACCCCTAGAACCAATGAAAAGAATGACCTAACTTTGACAACCCCTAGAAACAATCAAAATCACCGAACAACCCCTAGAACCAATGAAAAGAATGACCTAACTTTGACAACCCCTAGAAACAATCAAAATCACCGAACAACCCCTAGAACCAATGAAAAGAATGACCTAACTTTGACAACCCCTAGAAACAATCAAAATCACCGAACAACCCCTAGAACCAATGAAAATAATGACCTAACTTTGACAACCCCTAGAAAAAATCAAAATCACCGAACAACCCCTAGAACCAATGAAAAGAATGACCTAACTTTGACAACCCCTAGAAACAATCAAAATCACCGAACAACCCCTAGAACCAATGAAAAGAATGACCTAACTTTGACAACCCCTAGAAACAATCAAAATCACCGAACAACCCCTAGAACCAATGAAAAGAATGACCTAACTTTGACAACCCCTAGAAACAATCAAAATCACCGAACAACCCCTAGAACCAATGAAAAGAATGACCTAACTTTGACAACCCCTAGAAACAATCAAAATCACCGAACAACCCCTAGAACCAATGAAAAGAGAATGACCTAACTTTGACAACCCCTAGAAACAATCAAAATCACCGAACAACCCCTAGAACCAATGAAAATAATGACCAAACTTTGACAACCCCTAGAAACAATCAAAATCACCGAACAACCCCTAGAACCAATGAAAAGAATGACCTAACTTTGACAACCCCTAGAAACAATCAAAATCACCGAACAACCCCTAGAACCAATGAAAATAATGACCTAACTTTGACAACCCCTAGAAACAATCAAAATCACCGAACAACCCCTAGAACCAATGAAAAGAATGACCTAACTTTGACAACCCCTAGAAACAATCAAAATCACCGAACAACCCCTAGAACCAATGAAAAGAATGACCTAACTTTGACAACCCCTAGAAACAATCAAAATCACCGAACAACCCCTAGAACCAATGAAAAGAATGACCTAACTTTGACAACCCCTAGAAACAATCAAAATCACCGAACAACCCCTAGAACCAATGAAAAGAATGACCTAACTGACAACCCCTTTGACAACCCCTAGAAACAATCAAAATCACCGAACAACCCCTAGAACCAATGAAAATAATGACCTAACTTTGACAACCCCTAGAAACAATCAAAATCACCGAACAACCCCTAGAACCAATGAAAAGAATGACCTAACTTTGACAACCCCTAGAAACAATCAAAATCACCGAACAACCCCTAGAACCAATGAAAAGAATGACCTAACTTTGACAACCCCTAGAAACAATCAAAATCACCGAACAACCCCTAGAACCAATGAACCAACCAAAATACCAATCAACTAGATCCCATCAAAATACTGGCCCCCGAGTCTTTCCCCACAAAAATGTCATGCTCGCCGCTCCGCCGCTCCGCTTCGCTCGGCTCCGGTGAATCCCCGCTTCCCGCCTTTGCGGCGCTCGAGGGCGCTGAAGGCCGCCTGGGTGTCGAAGACGGCCCGCAGCCGGATTTGGTGCTGGTGGAACAAAGCCGCGCTGTCCTGACCGGATCTGGCATTTCTTCAAGAGTCAGGGTAGGTCAGGGTTGCCAAACCGCAGGTTTTGGCCCTTGTTTCCATTTACCAAGGGGCACAACTTTTGGGGGTACCATGTTCTGAGCCACAGCCATCCTAGTAGAGCCCACCCGGAGCTAAGAGCCCGTGCTAGGGTGTTATGTGTCTTTTTTATTCTCCCCTGTTGGTTTTAAAGGGAACCTGTTTTTCTGGTTCAAGCTTTCCTGCTACAATGGCCACATTTCCTCATCCACATCACTCTTCAACACCTTTCTGGGGACCGTTTTCCGCCTCAAGTGCTCTGACTTGTTCGCTGAAACGGGGGCGCCCCTCCATCAAAATCAACCAGGGGATTGGTAATATGGGTCGGATGGATGAAACGACATGTCAACATTGGGATGAATAAGTTACCAACTGGTGCGAAATGGAGTTAGTCCACTCAAAGTGGTCATGGAAGATCCAGCCAACAACCCCAAGCAAAAACATCCCCCACCGTTCGCTTACTCACTTGAGCAGCGACCTGTTGGTTCAACCGAAATGGGCATGAAGGTTGTATCGCCAAACCATGATGCCCACGCCAGGATACAAAACCTCCCTGCCTGAACCCCATCCGCAAACATGGACCCTCTTTTTGGATGAAAGCAACGCCGAGTTCCACAACCCCCATACCTCCAGTGGCATCTTTGGTTCAAATGGACCCGCCTGGGGAGGTTGTGGGACTGACCCCTTCGGGTTGCAAGGGTTCACTCCACCCTTCGCCAGTTTCGCCGGTTGGTAAGGTTTCCGGAAAGAATTATCCCTGGAATGGCGAAGTCACCCGAATACATTGCCAGGACTCACAGTTCCGATCTTTTACATGGGCCTTTCTATCCAACCAATGTTGGGGGAGGGTACCCATAGGAACCGCAAAGGTCATAGCCATATAAACATCAACAGGAAGCTCTCTTTGAATCGCACCAGCACGCTTGCAAGAAACCAGCTGGGAATTCAAGAGGAAAATCCCTCTAGTCTTGGTGGGTATTTGCAGGACTTGTAGAAGTTTCTCCAGTTTCCGACTTTCCGACCAAGTTCAAGCGACTTTCTACCAAGTTTCCTGTATCCCAAGTGATTCTGAGCGTTGACCGTTGACCCACATTGGCCACGCTCCTCCCGGCAGTCGTGCACCACTTTGGCCACGCGGCGGCTCGAGAGCAGCGGAGCGAAGGCCGCCACCACCCCCGGGCGCAAGGCGTCGCAGATGAGAAGCCTCCCATGTGGCGTGCCCCAAGGAAGGGAGGGAGATGAGCGCAGCGAGGGAGATGAGTGACTGCTTCATTTGGGGCCAAAAAAAGCTCAGGAAAAAACATAATGTATATAAACTATGAATACTACAATACTACTAATGGTTCATTTGGGCAGGCCAATAAATGATAATATATATATATATATATACATGTATATGTATGTTCATACTTATATATGTGTATATATATATATGCCTACGATTATGTACATTCTTAGTATACATATACATATGGATGTACATAAACTATGGGGCATTTGGCTGGTCATGGCAGGTGGAGTAACTTACCAGGTTACCAAATGGCGGCTCTCTCACGTCCTGATTAAATCAGTGACCATCCATCATGACCACCCAATTCTTTCTTACATACAACGGTTCTTAAACTAATGACATTTTATCTGGGTGAATTAGTTTGCTGCAGCCAAAACAAGTGAGTTCCTGATCAACGGAACCGGTGTCATCAAGGGTTGCAACCCCAACTTGTGAGTCATTATTTGCCGGAGTCTATAGCCCACAGCTAGATGATGTTTCATATTTGTCTACCCTAAAGCAACTAAGCCCTCTTGGTATCCAGGACCCGCGTGGAACCCTTGGATCACTCCGGCTCTTTTTCTGGGCAAAGACCCCGTGATCACACCGGCTCTTATCTGGGCAAAGACCCCATAGCTCTCAGCTGTTAGAGACCCCCTAAAAATTCTACTCCACCCACCGCACCCACCCCACCCACCCCACTCCACCCATCCCACCCACTGTGAGCACCCTCCCCGCAGTCGCTGGGCTTCGATTCCCGCCTGCTGCGGTCCCGGATCCTAGCTCGGAATTTCACGTGAAGCTTCGTCCAGCAAAGAACATGGCCGCAACCCGTGCCACTGCCCCTCTTTTCTGGTTTCTCTCCAGTGGTTTGGATTGGTGGTTTGGATTGGTGGTTTGGATTGGTGGCTTGAACAATTTGCGCTGCTTCGTGTAGGAGGTCAATGGGAAACCGCAAACTTGAATGCTCAAATGTTTCACTGCCCCAAAGGTCACGGAAGATGAGTGAGTCCCCTAGTTGTGGGGAAACTTGGTAAGTACCCATGTCCCCTAGTCGTGGGGAACCCCAAGCAAGCAGGTCTTCTGACCTCACAAATGAGCCTCATCTTTCAGTGCATCCCTCAGTGTACCAGCAAAACAACTGCTTTTTCCCATGTCCAAACCCCCCAAGTACTGTCCACAAAACAGTGTTTGCCCGGGTGCTGGTGCTTCTCCTGTGCAACTCAACCACCGACTGACCGGCATCTTGCTGGCCTCATTATTTTCCCATGATCATAGTCACCCCCGTTCAGTGGTGAAATATAAAGGGCAACAACCCTATTGACTGACTTTGATAACCCCCCCCCCCAAAAATCGTCAACCTGGAGTCTCCTTCTGACCTTTAAAAAATGGTTGGTCATTACCCAAAATCATGATTAGTCATGGACCCATTTAAGGGTCAGAAGGAGAGTCTAGGTAAACCATTCTATTGTACCCACTACGAACCACATCCGTTTTGCCCTGAAATACCATACCGGCAAGGCTTCTCGACGGCCACTCCTAGGGACGCCCATTTTTTAAGGGTCAGAAGGAGTAGGCAAATCATCGCCCGGCACCTAAACTTTTCCAAGGCCCCTCTAACCTAAGGCCACCCCAAACCCACCAATCCACCCTCCCACCCGAAACCAACCCAAAAACATCTTGCAGCTGGGGATCTGCATGAGGCACACCCGTCCGAAGCGGCCCAGGCGAATTCCCTCGCAGTCGAAGGCCACCGCGCGGCCCAGAGACGTCACGGCGGAGGCCTGCCGTCGGAGGAGGCGTTGAGACACGAGGTTCCCCCCGAAACAAACGTGAGACATCTATGCCATACGGCATGAGACCAGCATGAGACCGCAAATCATGACGCTTGACTTGTGACATACCTGTGAAGCCTGTTGTGTGTCTTGTTTCAGTCTTTTCGAGAAAAACAAACTGTTTTGTTTCATGACTGAAACCACATTTTTTCCAAACTTTGACCATGTTTTTGGAGTTTCGTGGGTGGAGTGCATCTTGGACCGCCAAACAAGGGCGGGTTTAAAACCCGGAACAAAGGCGGAAAGGGCGGAAGAATCAGGAAATCTTAGATGAGCCAGGTCACCTTTCCACAAAACAGACTTTCTTTCCAAACAACGACATTTTTTCCGAACAACGACCAAAATTCAGTGTGGTTTGCTCGAAGGCTTCTTTTCCGCACACATGGGCTCCGCAGGTACGACATGAGACCAACATGACACCGCAAATCATGACGCTTGACTTATGACATACGACATGAGACCAAGATGACACCGCAAGGCACAACAATTTTTACACTAGGCCCTCTTTTCAACACCTAGGTCCTTTTGACACCCGCTTCCTATAGTCTGCCCGAAACAAATGTCCCCTCATTGAAAAGAAGCTCACTTCACACTAGCCTGAAGCGTCATATGTTTAAAGCCACCAGAGAAAATGTGGAGCGACTTGAACTACAACCAATAAAACCCACTAGAGGGTCTTGAGTTGGTTGACAAAATGGCCTTCAGGCTCCATGTTGGTCGGTGGGAGGCCACTTGGGAGTTTCAATAGCTGGATCAGCCAAATCGATCTGAATTGGGAACCCTTTGATAGACCTCATTGAGGTCGAGATGTATGTCCACCGACCATCCCCGTAAACTTCGTATATAGCGATATTCATCTTGATTGGACGGTATGCCAATATATTGACATTGGTGCATTTGTAGACATGTCACTTTTTCGCACCGCAGGGTCCCTTGATACCCAAAGAAAGTGTGTTGAGGAGCTAAAACAGCTCCCTTGGCCACATGACGACGACATGTTTAAATGCATATATGCATACACTATATATATATATATGGCACCAATTTGAGATTCTAGATTTGCCATCCCCAAAAGGCAGTAAAACCAGGGTCCATGGGAAGTTTGCCTATATATATATATATGTACAGTGTCTACAGTACATCAATAAAATAAATGTATATATATATATATACATCTGAACACCCTATCTCGCATTTCCCGACATTCGCCCCGCCTCGTCCTCCTCCGTGCCATCGTCCCAATTTCCTGGCAGCAGTTCGGCACAGGCCTTCCGCGCCTGTGAGGCCGCGCGCCAGCGCCGAGTGGCCATCGAGTCAACCCCCGCTACTTCTACCTGGAGTCGCCATGACCCGCCAAGAATGGGGCCATGACCCCATTATTTTGGGTAATGACCCAGGTACAGTGTACTGTGAGTGGATGGACGAAATCAATTTCGCGCCACCTAAGAAGCCCTGGTTTCTGATGATTCCCCTGTAAATACCAACAAACATTGGTTTCCCATGGTAACAAGTGGTGCAGGAATTCGTCCATCCACGGTATTGCAGGGCAAAACGGATGTGGTCGGTAGACAGTGGGTAACTACAGTAGAACGGTTTAGGCAAACATGTGCGAACCCAAAGAGGCTTTGCCAACGTTTGCGAACCCAACCAAGGTGTACCTATGCGAACCCAAGGCAGGCTAGGCGAACCTATGCGAACGCATTTCTAAGGTTTTGCCCTGAGGTACTGGCCATGGAGCATTCTGTTTTGCCCTGTATGATTGGATGTATGTACAGTACGTGAATGTGTTTTCGGGCAAACTCCAACTAATCTTGAAAAAGATAAACGAAATAGGAGTCTAATTCGAACACAATTCAATTAGCTTTTGATAATGACAATTCAATAGAACCTAATTCTAAATATAATTCGTATGAAATATGGCTAAATGGACTTCTAAAAGGAAATCCGAAATACGCTTTGTGTTATAGACAATCTGGCCGTTGTTTTATAGCATGAGAAAGGGCCGAAAACAAACTTGTTAGACGGCGCTTCAAAATGGACATTTCAAGTGATCAGAGGTTCAAATTCTAAACTACCTCGAAACAGGGATTCTAGCTGAATCAATTGTATTTCAAGTCTTTCTTGGGCAGGAAATCATAATTCATTCTATCTCAAAAGGCGGAGGTAGTAGATGAGCAGAGGTGGACAGGCAGTTCAGAGGGGGGTGGGTGACGGTGTGTGAACATATATATCTGCATATGTATATACACACATACATACAAACATATAACCCCTCATGATCCTGAGCCTCTTGATAAAATGCTAAAGATGCAGCGTTCAGCATTACACCTACCTTTACCTCCTGGACAAGGGTCACATGAGCATGGCTTACATGAAGCAAACCGCTCACCAAAAGCACTCGCTAAGCACTTGAACGTATTCTACCACCGGATGGAAGACTCAAGATTGTAGACTTCACAGAAATCTGTCCTGCGAATCGTCAATCCTGGCCATCGAAACAACATTCAAATTTGTCTAACACTTGAAAGTGCTTACCACTGGATTGAGGAGTCAAACTCGAAGATTGAACAGACAACAACTTACTCAGAATCATCAATCTTGGCCAGCCCCAAAAAACGCTCAAGTTGTTCTAAAACCTTGAAAGTATTTTACCACTGGATTGAATATTCAAGATCGAAATCTTTTCGGAACATCTTGTCCTCTCACTTTGAATCCGGAAATTGAGGGAACTTGGAGAAATGCGCGTGACTGCAGATGGCTGCGCATACTGGTTGCAGAAGTATGTCTTGAACAACTAGAGTACTGGGACAATCCTGTTTTTTAGAACACGAATCTGGGATTCGAGATTCATGATTTCCAAAAACATGTTCGCAGATTCTTGAGCTGTGAATCCCATAGTGTAAAAAGACAGGGTTATCCCAATACTCTGAGATGGATGCAGACTCTGTCGGATGGAAGATGTTGACATCTTTGCTTGCTTACATTACATATATTTGCACACATGCATATATACATATGGCACCCGCCCCAATTTAGCCGCAAAATCAACGATGCAAAACTCCAGAAATCACCGGAAAAAAAAACAAAGCTCAAGCACCAAACCAGGGTCTAGGGGGGGGGGGGTGGGCGCCACCCATCCATGCATCTAGACATATATGCATGCATGTACGCATGACTAGATGTATGGATGCTGTCTCTCTGTCTGTCTGTCTGTCCGTATGTATGCGTGTATGTGTGTGTGTGCATATGTTTGTGTGTATGTATGTCTGTGTGTCTGTCTGTCTGTCTGTCTGTCTGTCTGTCTGTCTGTCTGTCTGTCTGTCTGTCTGTCTGTCTGTCTGTCTGTCTGTCTGTCTGTCTGTCTGTCTGTCTGTCTGTCTGTCTGTCTGTCTGTCTGTCTGTCTGTCTGTCTGTCTGTCTGTCTGTCTGTCTGTCTGTCTGTCTGTCTGTCTGTCTGTCTGTCTGTCTGTGTGTGTGTGTGTGTGTGTATGTGTGTATGTATGTATGGGTGTATGTATGTGTGTATGTATGTATGTATGTATGTATGTATGTATGTATGTATGTATGTATGTATGTACGTATGTATGTATGTATGTATGTATGTATGTATGTTTGCCTGTGTTTATATGTGTATGTATATATGTATATGTATGTGTATGTGTATGTGTATGTGTATGTGTATGTATAGGTGTATATATATATGTATATGTCTGTATATATGTATGTGTTTGTGTATGTGTATGTATATGTGTATGTATATGTATATATATATAGGTATGTATACGGGCGTATATGTATGTATATGTACGTGTGGATGTAGGTATGGATGTATGTATTTGTGTCTATGTATGAACAAGTATAAACAATACGTAAAGGTCTGTATACCCATAGGTGTGTACGTGTGTGTATAAATATATACGTTGATGCATGTATGCCTGTCTGGCTGTATGGATGTACGGATGAATGGATATATGAATGCATGCATCTATGTATGTATCTATGTATGTATGTATGTATGTATGTATGTATGTATGTACGCACGTACGTGTGTATGTATGCAATGTTCGCAATGTATGCAATGTATATACGTAGATATGCATGCATGTATGCATGTCTGGGTGTATGGATCCATGGATGTATGGGCGTACGGATGTACGGATGTACGGATGTATGGATGTATGGATGTATGGGCGTACGGATGTATGGATACATGGATGCTTGGATGTATGAATATATCCCGACGGTCGCACTTGCAGGCGGCGTTTCGCGCATGTGAAATGCAAATATTGTTCTTCTTGACCTTGAAGAAACGCCTTTCAAGAACGCCTTTTGAGTTAGCTGAAACAACTTGTAGCAAAGTGTTCTCTTGGGCGTGCTTGCTACCATGTTGTGATGTGGGATACATCAAACGGAGGGTTCCCTTGGGCGTGTTTGCTACCAGGTTGTGATGTGGGATACATCAAGCGGATCCCTTGGGCGTGTTTGCTACCAGGTTGTGATGTGGGATACATCAAGCGGAGGGTTCCCTTGGGCGTGTTTGCTACCAGGTTGTGATGTGGGATACATCAAGCGGAGGGTTCCCTTGGGCGTGTTTGCTACCATGTTGTGATGTGGGATACATCAAGCGGAGGGTTCCCTTGAGCGTGTTTGCTACCATGTTCTGATGTGGGATACATCAGACGGAGGGTTTTTCTTGGGAGTGTTTGCTACAGTGTTGTGATGTGGGATACATCAAACGGAGGGTTCCCTTGGGCGTGTTTCCTACCAGGTTGTGATGTGGGATACATCAAACAGATGGTTCCCTTGGGTGTGGTTATTATAGCTGGTCATGGATACAGTCAAACCAGGGTTCCCTATGGCGTGCATGCTTAACATGGTTGGTCATGGATACAGTCAAACAAGGGTTCCCTGTGAGGAAGTGCAAAATGTCACGAACCGACCTCTTTTGCTGAAACTGCCTGCGGATCACGGTTACAGTGTGTTTCGTGAAAAAAAAAACTCCAACATCGCGCGATACGGACGCGCACTTTTGAACATAGGTACTAGAACGAAGCAGACCTCAAAACATGGGCAGGCGTGGTGCTTTCGAACATACCACCAGGAAAAACGGAGCCCGTGAGGAAATATATGGATGTATGGATGCATGCATGTATGTGTGCATGTGGCGGTATGCATGTATGATTGTGTGCTTGTATGTGTATACTTGTGTATATGTGAGTATTTGTGTATATGTGTGTATATCATACGTGGAAAGCACACATTATGTATATGTGTGTATATGCCAGGGCATGTATAGACACACACACACACACTCTCACACTCACACGTACATATAAAATAGGCAGCTACATGTGAGTCATATTCAAAAGCCGGTACTAATTGTGAATAAGTTAAAGGGCGGACATCCGTACCAATCTATGGTTGGGACAGCCCCGTAAAAGGAAAGGTCCATCATGAAAGCTCACCTTCCCCCAAGAGCCAACATCATGGAAATTGCCGAAGATCTAAATACTTGTTTTCCCGGCTTTTCCCCTCTACATATTCCACCCACCCGCCGCAGCAGCCTGCGACTCGTTGGTGATGAAATGCACCGCAGCGCTGGCCGCGCAGCGGCGCCCCCGCGGCCATGGCGTCGGAAGACGGAGCGCTCTGGCCGCAGCCTTCATGGCGCAGCCATGGCGGGGAGCGAGCCCTGGCCGTGGATTTTCCACCACTCGGTTTTAGTTGTGGGTAACCTAGGTCCTCCAGATTTGAGAGGTTAGAATAAGTGGGTACCCGATTTGTTTCTGTAGTCTTTTTTAGTAGGGGAACCTTCCCCAAAAAAAGGGTAAAAGAGCACTCTGGGGGACCTAGTAACCAAGGGAACAGCCCCGCCAGAAGGAAAATGGTGAAGGGTTGCCTGTGGCTTGCCTGGGATCTATACTCTAAAGCTTGAGCTTTTGATTTGGGCTCCAGGCAGTACACAGACTTCAGAAAGATTCACGGCAAACAGCTGCTGATTTAAAGCCGGGGATTGAGAACCGTAGCCAGGCTTGTGGCTTTTGCTTGCATGCGAATTCAAGGGAAGCCGTTTCGCCCCATAGGGGAATAAGGGTGCCACTGGACAACTGGAAAATACACCGCACGTCTTGGTCTAAGCACAAAGGCCTGGTTGGGTTTGGGCAACAAGGTCAGTTCACGAGAGCAGTCGCGGCAGTCTGATAAATGCTGGCTTTGCTCTGGGGCGTCATGTTTCAAGAAATCGTAAACCGGTCTTTTAATCAACGTCTACATTCGACATCTAGACTCGGAGGCAACACCCGTGCTGAAAGGTTGGATCAGCCCCCTGCCTGGAATCCTAATGCAGCTTTGACGTCAGGTGCCGCCAGAGACGTGTTGCGCATTCGATGGGCGCTGGGGGTTGACCAAATGGACACTCTAGACCTCCCCCTCTGGGCCTTGGGTGGCATGGTGCAAGAGGGGGCTTGGGAACGAAGCAATGGATCCCAAAGACTACAAGACGCTTGCGCCTCATCTGCAAAACACAAAGAGTGGTAAGCCTCGGAAAAGGCCCAAGGGCCCGCATGTTCACCCGGCTGACGCGTTTGGCTTTGGCCATGACCCTTCCGGAAAATGGATCCATAGTGGCCTGGACTTTGCATTGGAAAGAATTGGACTTCAACATGGCAACTTCTTGAGGTCATCAACCTCAGCATCCTGATCCACATGCAACCCCCCAAACATATAGGAAACCCGTCTCAAGAGGATCCCTTCAATCCGTTGCCCCACAAGGAATCCCAAAACATGTGGAAAGCGCTCGAAATCCTTTGCCCACGAATGGGATCGATCAAAAGGAGAACTCTGCTCTTGACACACATAGCTACGGACAAAATTCACCGTCGTGGGACAACTCGAGTTCGTCCTTGTTCATGGGAACACTGCAGTGATCCTATGCCCTCCAAATTGGCCATGGACTGTGGATCGTATATGTCCAAATAGAACCAGTGGCCTCTTTGAGAGAACCAGAGACAATCAGAACCATGGCATTTCTTGGCATCAGGGTCTCGCGGCACTTGTGTCCGTGTACTCCTTCGGCTGCCACTCCTACACAGGGCGCCAGCAGGACTTCAGAGGTTCCCGCTGGAAGGAAGAACATGAGTTTGCTCACTTGCTGAGCACGTAACGTGGCCACCCCCTGAGTCATCAGAAGCTGGTAAGGGAGTCTACCCGAGCCAAGATCGAACGGCTGTGCAGGTGAGTGCTGGTCGCCCTGCTGTGAATGTCTTGGTCAAGCACTTGGAAAAAAACATAAAATTGCCTCACCGCGAACTTTACCAAACCAGACTCTACATTCAAATATCTAAACCCATGCCTTTTTCACACAAATTTCTATGAAGACAAGCACACTTCCGTGCGCTGGTCTACTGCTGGAATGCGTTGACGGAGTGCTTCCTTTTTGACGTGGAAACCGTCTCAACTCATAACTCGTGTCAGAAACAAGCTGCTAGGGTATTTGTGTTTGAGTCACGCTTATATACCTGAACAATTCCCCATCCAGCCCTGGAATAAAAGGGTGACAAGGCTCACACCAAGAAGTGTTTGATTGTCTGGGTGAGTGATGGTTCAGCTATATGCTCTACTGCATGCCGGGGGTCTCTTGATTTACAAGCAGAAACTCGAGCACGCAACGTGGACGCAACAGAACCACTCAGAGGGCCTCAGCGAAACAGGCACTGCTCTGGCTCATGGAGCAAGCCTGCGCAACCGCCCAGCCAAGCGTGACAAAACGCACGGGTTGAAACGCAAGGCAAGCCAAAACCAGTTCAGTTTAGCAGGACTACTGAAAAGGCAAGGCAGGCCGCTGCGGTGAGGCTTTGGGTTTGGCCTTCGGGGCAGCGGGGGGGGCTGTCTGAGAGGCTTCATCACTGGAGAATCTTTGCGAGGGCTCCCCAGGTAGCGAAGGTGGGGTCACGCATGAAGGGCGCAGCGTACTTCCTCCAGGCGTTGAGAGCACCGCTGGCCTGGGCACCGGCCTGCGGCTGCGAGTAGGGAGAGGGAGAAAGGGCAGCCCAACACTCGGAGCACCAAACACAGACGCCCATTGCTGGGCTTGGTAGCAAGTAGGGGGTAGATCTCTGGAAGTCTGTGAGCGACTGCCCGCCTGCGGGGAGAAAGAAGACCGCAGCAGAGCGGCAGCAAGGAAGAGATCCCGAACAGAGAGCTCCGGCATGTGCAAAAGACGAAAACCAACACGCCTCTCTTCGTGCCCGGCAAAGGTGGGCGGCCTGACAAACAAATTGCCAGACATGGACAGGTGAGGAGCCCCCGCGCCAAGGACTATGTCAGGTTTAAGCTTCCATCTGGCCCGAGCGTGGTCCGCCACGAGGCTGTCACGGGCCAGGGGGAAACCCACGGCAGGCAGAGTCACCTTGAGCCGCCGAAGGGGCAGGGCCCCCATCCGAAGCGACACGCTTCCACTGGCAAAGGTGGAAGGCCGCAAAGGAACCCGCGCTAAGACGGAGCTGCGTGCGCCAGAAATCAGGGAGAGTCAAGATCCGAAACTCATTCCGAAACTGATGACCTCGGGCACGCCAGAGCTGCCCGGGGAGAAGAAGTCCACAAGAGCCTCAGCGACCCGAAGGAACGATTCCAAAAAGGAAAGCTTGAGGGGTGGAGAGGCTTCGAGAGCTCCCGGGAGCGGGCCTGCGCAGCAAGCAGAGCCACCTGGACAACCGGAAGGTCCAAGCTGGGCAGAGCACGCTGCGGAGTGATCCGTCCCAGTCCCTGTGGGCGCTCAGCAAGGCCGAAAGCATGGCGGAGACTACCACGTCCTGCCAACCATATACCAAATCATGCCATCAAACATGCTACAAACAAAAAACAAGTCTTAATTGCTGAAGCAACAATATGATCAAACATGCTACAACAAGAAGCAAGCAATCATTGCTTCAACATATATATATATATATATGGTACCCCCCCCCAAGGGACCTACCTTTTTGATGACTTCATTGGTATTTGCGGTGTTTTCTACCCTTTTTGGGGCTTTGGGGAGAGCAATGAAAAAGAAGCATTTCCAAGGACGTTCTGGAAGCTTCAGGCTTGATTGAAACCGATTTAAACCGATTTAATTTAAATCGGGCATGGATTCAAGATTCAAGAATCCAGGCCAAACTTTTCCAGGGATTCTTGAATCCAGGCGTCGATTTAAACCGATTTAAACCGATTTAGGTTAAATCGGGCATGGATTCAAGACTCAAGATTCAAGACTCCCTGGACAAGTTTGGCCTGGATTCTTGAATCTTGAATCTTGAATCCATGCCCGATTTAACCTAAATCGGTTTAAATCGGTTTAAATCGACGCCTGGATTCAAGATTCCCTGGAAAGGTTTGGCCTGGATTCTTGAATCTTGAATCTTGAATCCATGCCCGATTTAAATTAAATCGATTTAAATCGGTTTAAATCGAGACCCAAATTCAACATTGCACTTTGCGCGGCTGTACTTTGGCACAGTGTTATGCAAGCATCCAAGTCCTGATTATTCATTCAATCTGTTTCAATCTAGGCCCACATTCAAGATTGCAGGCCAAAGTTTTCTAGGGAATCTTGAACCCAGGCTCAACTGAAATTTCAGTCGGTCTCAATGGGTTTCACTCGGGCCTGGACTCGCGTTTGCAAAGAAGACTTGTCTAGAGAATATGGGTTCTTTCCTTATCAAATCCTGTTAAAGCTCATATTGAATTGCAAGTATATATTGGGAAAGGAACTCTATTTAAACTCGCAATCTCAAATTTGATTACCATGAGGATTCTGACCAATATTTCCGTATTGAGTCCCAATTAAATCCTGTTCAAGTTCAAACGAGCATTTAGAGAGCGTTCGTTGGTGGAGATGTGAATTGAGTATGAAAAACGCTACACAACGCTGTGTTTGACGGTGTTTTCTGACCAAGGTAGTGTTAGGACTAGTGAAAGACACAAGTTTGGGACCTTTGGATTCTTTCCTTATGAATTCCACTTAGTATGTATTTTATCAAATTCGACCTTATTTCTGATTGAAATTCAATGGAGCTTAAGAAGGACATACTCCAGCCAAAATTGCGATTTAGATTCGAACTTAAATATTGATTATTTATGGCAAACTAAATGGTACAAACGATTTCCTGTCCAATAGACCATTGTACATTGAAATTCAACACTTTCAGAACTAGCTAGTCCTAGTCTGGTCCTAGTCCTAGTTGGGAGATCCTTGGTTCTAGGCCAAGTATGGTCCTAGCTTACTGAAATACGTAGAACGCATAGAGGATATTACAAAGGAAGTTCGTTATGAATTGTAGTTAATATATTAGTCAAGTTCTATGCAACTTCTAGCTGAATAGTTGAATTTGAAATAGGGAGAATATCCAGTCAGAATTTATATGTTAGGACCACCAGAATGCAATACTTGACATCCAACTACTATAAGAAGTAGAATTAAATGGTCTAAGACTAGTTTGGTCCTAGATGAGAGATCCTTGGTTCTAGTGTTCGGTTGCTCCCTAGTTTACTGCAAAAAATAGAAAATATACAGGACATTGCAGAGGAAGTTATGCTTGAAGTTCATTTTTGTAAGAATCTGAGGTGGGTCGTCTAGGCCTAGTTTGGTCCTAGTCGCAGTTGAGAGATTTGGTCCTGGTCCTAGTTGAGAGATCGTTCCTCCCAGTCCTAGATGGGCAATTCATGCACTGGAGAGGCAACCAAAAGGTAGGTCCCTGGGGGCGGGGGGGGTTAGCATATATATATATATATGTATATATATATATATATGTCTAACACAGGACGCCACGATCCTGTCAAAAAGCTTTGCGCCTGTCCTGAAAGCCATGGCGCTGCCAAGCCCCCACTCCAGAGCCTCGAAGCCCGGGACAGCTGCAAGCCTGCGCCGAAGCCGGGCCTTGAACTTTTTTGAGGATCGCCGTTTTTTGTTGGTTTGCGGAGAATGTACCTGGAGTCTCCATGACCTCCAAAAAATGGTTGGTCATTACCCAAAATAATGGGGTCATGTACCCATTTTTTAAGGGTCATGGAGAGTCTAGGTTGATACACATGTCGCAAATCCATACAGAAGTATACATATGTTATAAGCATACATAGATTTTGTGTATAGACGTATTGTGCTATTGCAAACTTGTCCCCGTGCTATTCTTATGAACCATGGGAACACCAGAATCTACCTTGTCCACCATGCGGGCCACCTTGATCCTGTTCGGGGGATGTACCCGCACGCAGCTTGTCCGCTTGAAACAGGACGAGTATGTCTCTAGGTTCGTAGCCGCAAATTAAAGCGAAAGGCCGGGTGTACCCCGAAGAGTTTACCCCGATTGGAGGCTCCCCACTTCCAGATCCACATTTTGTCTTGGGAGCTACATAGGGTCTGAACATTCGGGACCCACACGCCGGTGTTGTTGCATTCAGAGGTGGCCAGGATGTCTGGCGGCAAGACTGTCGGTGCTCATTTCTTTACGCTTGTTGGTTCATCTCACCTTTTGGCCCTTCTAGACATACTCTGCCCCGAAAAGAACGGCCTCTCAAAAGGCACCACCTGTCCCCCAAAAAAAAGGGGCACGCCCAAAAAACCGCGGTAGGCACTGGAAAGCCACCTGGCCTGCACGGTTCGCAGGATCTCGTCCACTGGCGCCAGGGCGCCGCGGCCCACGTCCCCACAGGCCAAGCGCTTGCTGGTGGGGGCGATGATGCGGCAGCCCCGGTCTTCCAGGATCCTTCACAGGGGGCTGGGGGGGCGAGGCGGGGGGGGGAGGGGGGAGGGGGGCAAACCGATGGGTGGTATTTTGAGCGTACCAGGCTACCCTGTCCTTGGTGGTAACAGGAAACCAGAGGAGTACCAACCATTCTTCACAAAGGATGGGTGGTATTTTGAGGGTACCAGACCCACTGCTGGAGGGATAGGGAATGTATATTGGGAAGTAGGTGTGGGGTATGGGTATATACCCTGTTCTTGGTGGCGACCACCCATTCTGGGGGTTCCCTCAAAAGACAAGCCCAGATGGGTGCTTTTTGAGGGTGCCGTTTCGGGGTGGCAAAAGGGGTGCCGTGAGGGTACGCTGTTCTTGGTGGTAACGGGAAACCAGAGGGGTACCACCCATGTTCAGGGAAAAAGACAAGCCCATATGAGTGCTTTTGAGAGTGCTCTTTTTTTTTGGGGGGGGGGTTTTACAGGAACCCAAAGGGGAAACCAGCAAATGGTCTCCGATTTAAACACGCACGGGACATGGGAAGTTGTTTTGGAGTTCGTCGTGGATCGTCACATGGCTTTGTGGGACACCCGTCTTTTTGGGGCGGTTTGGACGAAAACCAAAGGGAACTTGCCCAGTTTGGGTTTCGTCTAGTTGTTTGAGTCAAGGGGTGAAATGCAGCTCTGAGGCGGGAGGGGAAATTTCCTTTTCGGCTTGTGTCAAAGGGAAAGCAAAACGGAACCAACCCTTCTAGGGGTCCTCATTCGGAGACTGTTCCCTTTTCTTGAACCCTTTTGGGAACTTAGAAACTATCTTCCGGAGTACACCCCCACATGGTGGAACTTTGGCCAATCCTGTTCTGTGCTGCCGTTGTGTGCCAGACCATCTCTAGTTTGTCACAAGGGCATTCGAATCCCTACCACTTTGTCACTTGAAAAGGGATTCCCATGGGCATGACTGCCTTGTCACAGCTACCCGCCCTTATGACTCTTTGTCCTCACACGCTCCCCATCCCCACCCATATGCCACTCTGGAGGGGAGTCGTGACCCTATGACTACAATATCCACTCCGACCAAAGTTACAATGGCATAGTAATAGAAGCGCCAACACCTCATTTCCCACAACTATGTCCTGGAAAACGTCGGTGCACCTTGCAACACCAACCAGAAATGCATCATCAGCTAGTTGTTGGTGTGCAGTTTTGGCATGGGCTCGTAGTCTTGACACAAGGAACCCAAGACCCACGAAACTCAGCTTGGCATCTTGCGTGTGCAATCAGCGCAACTCTGAAATCGCCGTCAACAAAACCCTTCCAGTTCTCCTCTCACTTACATTTATTCCCCTGCTGCCACGATGGCAAGGGCCTTCTCAACATGCCGTCAGTTCTTTCAGCGGCGCGGCCTGCCCAAAGGCTTAAAGAAGCTGGAGATAACAGGCAACGAGTTATCTTAGGCCATGACTCCACAGGGCCTAAGTCCGTAAACTACTGGGGGACCTTGGTGTACGCTGCTCTCCCGAAAGGACGCTCGGTGTCTTGTCGCGCTCCTCAGGTGCTGCAGGGTGCTGGGGTGCTCCCACATCACCTTGCCGGTGGGAAACCGGGGAGGGGTGTGTCCAAAATGCCGCATGCCGGATGCCCTGTTTCTGAAAAAAGGGACACTAAAAGGCAACCTGCCATGTTCAGGGTTGCCTATTTTTGGGAACCCCCATCTGGAAGGGGCAACGAACGAAAAAAACATCAAGCAAGGCACGGTTTTTTGAGGCCACCCTTTCCCAAAGTTGGCTTAAAGAGAACCCAAAAGCAACACAACAGTACCATTTTAAGTTGGTGCCCGCAATTGTTGGACACATACCGTACATACCCAAAGGGCACGTTTTTGCCGAGTCGCGGTATTCATGGCCGGCGCAAGCAGCATGGGCTTGTCGGGGTCCCAGGCGCGCAGCAAGCAGGTGGCCAAGTTGTCGCATAGGCCCAGCGCGACCTCTCAGATTTGGACACTCGGTTGTTTTCTGCTCCCCTGCTAAAAGTTTCTAACTTTTAGTGGTTTGATGGAGAACCCATTAGTTGGCAGAAGTTAAAGTCTAACATCCAAGCAAAATGCACCAAAGCATACTTTGGTCTGAATCGCATGGCTAGCTTTGCCCTGGTAGGGGACTTACAACCATAAGTGGATAGAACCAGGGAAACCTAGCCATTTAGCGATTCCTCCCAAACTACTAGTAATGTGGACCCCATATGTGGTGCACTGGTAGGGGACTTACAACCATAAGTGGGTTGGCAGGGCAAAGCCAGCCATTTAGCGATTCCTCCCAAACTACTAGTAATGTTGAACCCATATGTGCTGCACTGGTAGGGGACTTACCAGCTTAAGTGGATGGCCAGCCATTGAGCGATTCCAACCATCTAAGTACCATTCGGTCAAGTAGTGTTGACCCCATATTAATCGGCCAACCAGTTTTCTAAGGGTTGCTTCCCCATTCTGAACCCAGGGATCCTTCTTTCTAGAGCCACCGAAAACCCTAGGAAACCGGATCCAGCTTTTTGAACAGAACGATGGCCAGAAAAACAAGGACAAGGAATCAACCCCTAGAAGTTTATTCGATTAGGGGGAGTGGAGGCCCCTCCAAAAGTGGTCTGACTCACCAAACCCGGGGAGAAGCACCCCTAGGTCCTCCAGTGGAGAGGTTAGAATAAGTTGGTACCCGATTTTTTTCTGTAGTCTATTTCAGTAGGGGAACCGTCCCCCAAAAAGTTGATAAAAGGGCACTGGGGGACCTAGTGGTTCGCAACTTTTGGGCGGGTTTACACCTATTCTCGATGGAGACTCATGTCGCTTCCGATGAATGACAGTGAATCCCGGTGATTCCGTTTCCCTGTATTCCGGGAACCACCGGAGCCTTTGAAACCCTAAAGCACTGGCTTCCTAGTAAATGTTGACCAAAAAAAAAATCAACCCCAGTGTCTGAATAGGCTCTGGCATGCACAGCCAATGGGTACGGTTGCCACACATTTAGCGGCTTTAACCAGGAAATGGGTGGAACACATAGTGGGGGTTCATGTGCTGACTCTTACTCACCAAACTTGGAGGAAGTCGTTTCCTCGCACCCAGACAATTGGTCTCTGAAAGAAAGACCCAAAGGACCCGGGCCCACGAACCTGTCTCACACGTTTGGCAACCAGCTTTTTCTCCCCCCGCAGATGGGGGTTGGAAAGCGGATCAGTCAATTTCCCACCAAGAAAACCAGAAAACCACACGAAGACAAGGACGCTGCACACTTGGACATGGCACCTGTTGAGTATCCCCATAGGTGGGAGCGATCGCCTGAGGTGTCTCTCGAGATGTGGAGGCCTTCGCATTTGTCCACGTTGCTTTGGAACCCACAGGGTGTCTTCCAGGACCCCGCCATGTTGGTGGACAAGAGCCTACTTTTTGGCCCCTGAACGGCAAAGTACATCACATCTCTCTTTGATTCAGGCAGGACACCACCATGAAAATGCTTCCTTCCACAAGTGGTCTGGTTTTACGTGCTTCTCGTATGTCTCCAAGCATCTCCCACCAAAGAGACGTAGAGTCACCATTGGCACAAAAGGCAAATTCTCAACCACTCAGAAAGCAGAGCAAAGCAAGGACGCCTGAAATCCGACCCACACAACTTTGAGGCCAACAAAGGTGGCAAATGTAGCGCCAGATGGCTGCCCCACGCGCACACGGGGTAATGTATAGCCTCATGGGAAAGTAATCAATCCATGGACGCAAGGCATGGACTATCTAGCCGGAATGGCCCTTAGATAAAGACCCAGCCTTCCTCTAGAGAACTGCCTGTTGATATCAAGACATTTAAATTTCTAGCTATTTTGCAGGGCCCTCTCTCACAAGACAACATCTTCGTTTCCACAGCCTTTGCTTCCAAAGGCAAACGCTGCTTCCCTTCCACTCAGCAACCAATGAAAGAAGGAATATTCCCCACATAAACCACCATTTGGAGTGAGTTCGGTCATGTGAGATCGTTATAATTCACCCAGAACAATAGACAAATGCCACAAACACAGAATACCCTCTGGCCAATGAAGGGCCGGGTTTGAGCA